GGATTGAGCCTATACAATGACAGAAAACCGCGTGAGAGTTTGTGCATTACTTTGGGCTATTTGAAACTGTCAAGATGACGTTATTTATAACCAAACCAATATCTCAAACTTTTTGCAGGTATCTTCAGGGCATCTGCATGGACCCGTATGTGGCCATTACTCAGCCGTGCGGAAGTCAAGGAGCGTATGGTCTTTCAATGCAACCGCTGTGAGACGGTAGCATGGGATACGTACAACCTGTTTTGATGGCGATCCAGTAATAGGATATGTGTTTAGGCATCTTGTCCTATTTTTGCAGGTAGTGCCTTTTTGTTTTATGATTTGCTTTTGCTTGTGTACTCAAGATGAGTTTCATAATTTGTTGATACATACTTTATTTAATAGGTTGTGTGCATCACTTGATGCAGAGGCCGGGGATAATCCTCCTTTTTGGAAAAGGCATTTATGGATGCTTTGGTGACCCGGGTTGGAGATGCCCTTATATCAATAAAACAAAATTGTTTTTCTTTTCATTTTTTGCATTAGCAATCTCGACTCACGGCAAAAGGCATCAACTCGTTTTGGAACATCAAACTAGCATGATCGACTAGACTTGCCTAATCTAACTTCTATGTGTCCGCAAACAGGATCCGATCAGAGCTCCCTCTATCAACAACACCCTCACGCGATTGATTCCCTAGTGGATGCCTTTATTGGTCTGTCGGGCAACCACACCCTTTATATCTAAAACCTCCAATCCATACAAAGCCATGCACATGGATCATATAGAACACACTAATTCAAGAATTCAACACAATCCAAAATAAGCCATGATAAATAAATTCAACAATTCATACATAGACAATACACAAATGAATCAATCACCCTCGTTGTTATGCTTGTTGCATTGATCACCTTCTTCTTGTTGGTGAACCACTTTTTCAATTATCATTCATGGGACTAGTGTCGGCCAACATAATTCTTGACTCCTTTATGATCCTCGCGAGGCTCATCTTTTCTTTCTCCAGCTCAATTGTCTCATATATATTCGCCTTCTCAAGCTCTATTTCTTTTCATTCTCTTCCTTCTCCATGTTTATCTCTACCCAAGTCTTGGACGAACTCCATCCTACCCCTTTGCACATCCAGGAAGAGCTTGTATCTCTCCACCTCCTTTTTTCTCCCCAATTTTCTTCAATGTCTCCCCCTTGTTGCATAAGATGCATGCCCATGTGGTGGACAGTTTGCTTGCCGCACCATCATGCGTGACCTTATCATTCTTCCAATTCCTCCCCGTCAAGTGTTTATTCCTCATGTTTATTCCTCTCTAGCTCGGTCCCATGGTTGTCCCCTCCACTTGTCTCATCGCCGTCATCCAATCCAATAGATTGGTAATAGCTTGTGCCATCATTGTTCTTCATCTCCTTGACGGGGTTCTTGAGATATTCAAAGAGGTTTGACCACTTCAGTTTCCCATTCAATTGCACCCAACAATGGGTCATAGTGAGCAACTTTTTTCTCATTGATAGTACAAAGTGGAGGCTAACCCCACCTAGCAAGCAAAAATCACACTTCAACATAATGCAAGAAATGAAGCAAGCAAGAAATATAATGACCAATGTAAAACAAACTAAACTTACATGGCTATCGACTCCAATACCGCTTTTGTGCCTATTCACCACTTGTGCATAGAAAACCACAAAACTTGTTCATGGACTCCCTGATGACAACTCATCTCTGTTGGAAAGAGCCCTCATTGCGGGTCGTATGGATTGGATGCATCTCCACATAGTGCTTGTGTTCATGGTATCATGCACGGATTTTTTTTCAAATATTTTGAGCTCTTTTACTCGGTTCCACAAATATGATCCATGCTTATGGAGAACCAAACTTTACACTACAAGTCATCTTCGTGGGCCGAGCATGCATTTCCTCTTGCCTTCACCTTTTTTTAGTGTGTGATGGTTGTCCAACATCAAACAAAAGGCAAATTTGGATCACCCGCTTGACCGTCATTTATCATGTCCATCATGAACGAGTCCTAAAGATGCATCACAATGAAACTACAATCCTAAAATTAATTAAAAAATTGCATATATATGGGGCAAACTAACTATTTTGTAAGGAATATCATCGAACGATTGTTGGCCATGTCCAACACCAAAGATTCCCGACGTTGTCTGCAACCGCTGAAGTTGCGGTGACTCCTATAACATGCCCGGGAGGCGTCTACTTTTCGCGTGAAGCCATCCAAGATGTCCGTCCTTGCGAAGCCGGAATGGCATAAGGCCTTGGTGTGACCGATAGAGCGCATGCGGTTGCCGTCCCGGTGTGGTGGAGAACACCAACATGGACGTGGTGAACTCCATGTCGACGGCGTTCTTGCCTGCCTTCTCGTGGGCGCTATGGTCCCGTGGGTGATGATCTTTGCTTTGTTTTTAATGGTATCTAGGGACCCCCACAGACTCCGCCAATCCATCCTCCATCGTGCGGGCAGTGCGGACATTGATGGCTAGGAACGAGGAGGAGGTCGGCAGCGATGACACGAAGCAAGGCGTTGGAGCGAACGCGGGAGAAAGGGGAGGACATAAACGGAAGAGAGGATGGTCCATCTTGTCAATGGATTTGGGTGGGTCTAGCTTGTCAAATCTGACGTGGCAAACCCATTCGGACGACCACAAATCCACCACATATATGGGTTGGATTTGAGGGTGTCATATGACCAGACGTATGGTTAAGTTTGAGGGGGTTCGATTGGGTGGCGCTTTGGCATTTTTTGGCCGGGGAGTGTCAAGGCTGCATAGTTTTAAAAACTGAAACAGAGATCGAGCCGGTGAGCCCATCGGTTCAGGTTTTTACCATTGGACCATTCGTTCACCGATTCATCATCCGGTTTTTTACATAAAATAATATATGTTTAGTAATATTTATATATACTAATATAGTCTTAAACAATGGTCAAATAAAATTACTTTTCCATAATAGACAACAAAGTAGCATGACTGAGTTGGTTATTGGGCCATGAGCATGTAGTTCCTTCTCCTATGTGTTGTGGGATCGAATCCAACTTCTTTGAAATTCTGCATTAATCATTTTTCTAGGTTTTTCCCGATTCAAATGCCTTATTTATTCACTGGTTTTCCAGAGTTTGACCCGTTTTCTCCGGTCCAGTTGACCGGTTCTAGTTTTTCCGGTCCAACTGCAAGTCCAGTCCGGTTTTCTAAAGAGGTAATATCATCACTGGTGCCTAAACTTGTTACGGACATTCACTTTAGTGCCTGAATTTAGAAAATACGTCGAACTGGTTCGAAAACTTGACATGAAACCAGATCAAATGCCCGATTTATTGAACGGTTTTCTAGAAACCCAGCTTGTTTGACTGGTTTTCCCCGGTCCAGCTGCAGTACGGTCTTATTAACTTATAAAATTGCCAAGGTCGTCGGTTCTGGGTTTTTTGGTCCAACTGTTGGTCCGGTCCGTTTTTTTAAAGAGGTAATATCACCACTGGTGCCTAAACTTGTATCACCACCGGTGCCTAAACTTGTTACAAATGTTCACTTTAGTGTCTAAACTTAAAAAATATGTCAAACTGGTTCTAAAACTTGACACGAACATACAGATACGATACAAAAGCCATTCGTAGACGTAAATTGTGCTGACATGGCATGGGATCCACTTGTAGCACGAAACAGGATTTTAGTTGAATAACTATCTTTCTATGATTAGTGGGTTATGTCTGTCGCAACTAGGAAACGGAAAATGGTGCCGGTAAGGTTGGAACCTTCAACTTGAAGAGTTCATGCGGCCTCCGATGGCCACTCCACCAAACAAGTTTTCATGCAAATCTGTAAATTATAATCACACTAATACACATACTACTATGAATTTTGCACACACTATTTTTTTAGAAGAAAAATGTAAAACGTCTGTAGATTGTAATCATAATAAACACATGTATTATTTTTTAAAATCTATAAACCAGGCCCTTGCCATATTGTGGGTTATAAATATTTGTGGTACACAAATATTCTTGTGCACACAAAATAAATACATAGATGTCTGCAATAAAATAACTTACTAAAAATGTTCCTGTAATTTTTAGAAATACTCACGTATTATTTAGAAAATACTACTTCAGTAAAATCCATGAGTGTTTCGAAATGTTTACTAACTACAAACGTTTCAAATACATAGTCATGTATTACATTTAAAAAATATTAATTTTTATAAATATATAGCGAATATAAACATTTTTATACATGCATGGTTATACTTAATTTATAGAAATTTATGGATAATTTTTTTTACTAAATATCTATGCATGTTCATTGGTGTATAATTTCACTCATGGATTATATTCATAATTTTTATATAATGCGGGTGAATTAGTAAACAACATACTTATTAAAAATGTGTGCATGATTATGCAAATGTTTGTATAACTAAAACTATATTTATGAACTATAATGTTAAAAACATTTGCAATATTTAATACTGTACAAAAATCTTAAATTGTTTGTATAACTAAAATTATATTTATGAACTGTAACGTTAAAAATATTTGCAATATTTAATATTATACCAACATCTTTATAATTAATATATATTATTTCAATTATATGAATGTTTCTAAAATAATACATGAATATTATTAATTACATGAACACTTTTTAAAAGTTAGTTATTTTAGTTTAATGTATAACATTTATAATTATTAATACCGCATGAATAGTTGAACTTTATTTGTATTACTGTGAGTATGAGTTATAGACTTTTTACAGTTTACTTTTTAAATTAGCATACACTAAATGGGCCGTACTGAGTGCAACCCATTTAAGTAGCACAAGCTTTGTATTTCGCACTAGACTAAGGGGCCTTTGTTATCTCATAAAGCTCTGTGTTAGAGTGGCTAGCACAAGTCTCTCACACACTTCAGGTACGTACCATTTTTCATTTCAACTTTCCTTCTCTACTGACAGGCAGGACCCACTAGTAGTACTTAACTAAAATCCTGATTCGTTGCTAGAAGTCGACCCATGCCACATCAGCCAAATACGGTGCCATATCAGCGTAATTTATGTTTTCAAATGGGATTAACACCGTGTTCATGTCAAGTTTTAGAACCAGTTTGACATATTTTTTAAGTTCGGACACTAAAAGTTTGACGTATTTTTCAAGTTTAGATACTAAAGTGAACATCCGTGTCAAAGTTCAAGCACCACAGATGATATTACCATTTTTCCAAACTGTTTCCAAACTGGCATATGCCGGCCTGTACGGGGCTGCTCCGGTTGGAAATGCTCTGAGACAGAGACACAATCTGAAGCGTTCCCTCCAGTGCATTTTTACAGGTTTTTCCTTCTGTTTTTTGGTTCAACCACCTGCTGCACAACAGATAACTGACCAGAAGTATCCGTTACCGTAACATTTTTACAGGATGGTTCGTCTCCAGTCATAACCTTTTACACGTATAACCCATTCCATTCATCTTTACAAAAATTATTTACCCCACCCCCACCCCCACAAATTTATAATACATTTCATGCTATACCCCCTCTCTTCTATACCAAATGCAACTACAGCTACAATTTCCATGCTTTTCCAGGCACGTTATTATCATGGCCCTACAAATTACAAAATAATCCATCTCCATCCAATGTTCACCGACGAGCGTTTCAGTTCATTCAGGCCACGAAATCATGCAGCAGGGGCGACGGCTCAAACTGCTGCCGTTGATCTAGCTGGTTCGTCGACTCGTAGTCCGAAGAGGCCATGGCAGCGCCACCGCCGGGATGAGCCGCGGTGGTGTTGTAGATGTCCTCTTCCCCGGCGGCGGTGAATCCTGGCCGGTGAGCGTTCGGAGCTGAGAGGCTGTTCTCGGTGTGCTGCAATCCTAGCGTCAACGACACATTGCTGTTCTGATATCCCCCGAGCTCTGCCAAATGGTAGGCCATGAAGCGCGCGCTCTCGTCGCCGTGGAGGAGACTGCCGTCAGCCTCGCCCGGTCTTTGGTCCTTCAACAGCAGGTTCATGAAGCCGTCGTCGGAGTTTGCCTCGTTGTGGAAGCTGGACGGCGCTCCGGTGAGACCCGCCATCTCCATGTTGGCTTTGAATTCGCTGGTTTGGTAAGCCTGGCCCTGGCTCATGGAGCATTTCAGATCTTCCTTGTCTTCACAAGACGCCATTTTGTCCTTGCTTCTTGGTAAGTTGTCCGAGGAGGAGTTTGAGTCGAGCTCTGCCTCCCCGGTCTCTTCTTTATACATGTCTTCGATCATCGGTTTCCACAGGCGAACACGGGCATTGATGAACCAGTTCGAAATCTAGGACAATGAAGGATGTAAAGTAAGTTCAGCAAACCGATTTCATTTCACAGAATGCAAAGTCTTCCAGAAGTCATTTGCACACTTTCGAAGCCAAATATCCAATTCTCCTAGAATACAAGTTGTTTATTGATGGAGAACTTAACAAATATAATTTTTCCTATTTGCAGGTTATCGACATACATGCTAGTAGAGTAGTAACCCTGCAGCATGATTCAGAATTTGCACCACTTGGATATTACCAAGATGAGTTACGTACCCCTATTTGTGCGCATTGATTTTAGTACTAACAAGGCATACCAATCATTGATAACAAATTTAGTGTGGTAATTCTTGGTAAGATCATAAATACCTGACTTCTTGTTAAACCAGTTTGCCTCGCTAGCATTAGCTTTTCTGAATCTTTTGGATACCTGGAAAAAAAATAACTGTCATCAGAACAAAAGCGAAAAGGGGCAAGTGGTGATAATTATATGAGAAATAAGCAACTTACGGGTGAAGGAAGTGTTCAAACAGCCAAGCACGAAGAATTGAAACTGAGTTTTCAGGCAGTCCCCTCTGTGGCCTCCAGGCATTTTGCTGTAACATACCATACTGTTGGAAAGCTCGTTGTTGCCTTAACTGCTGATCGATGTAACGGAGGCGAGTTAACTTGCCCTCTCTGCCCGATGAACTATCCTCCTCTCCCAGTTTCTTTCGGATAACATTAACCTGGTCGTTGATAGCATCCTTCAGACATCGGAAGTGCCGCGATATTGTCTGAAGGGCAACTGCAGTATAAGGTTTGGCAGCTCCAGACCCAGCAATCATATCGAAAGACGACACTACAATTTGCATTTGATGGAAATAATGCTTGTACTTTCGGTCAACCTGAAAAAAAAAATAGCTTGGTGTTCAGAATAGTTCATTTAGGATGTGATGTGTAGTACTAACTACTAACTGAAAAATAAGAAAACCGCATTCAGGTTGCCAGTTAAGCCATTATCCCTGTTTAGCCCGTGTTAAGGACAAATCTGTCTTGCTGAGTGCCTTTTTGAAAGAGTATTATTTCTCAGCAAAGTTTCTGTATTTAGTTTAAATCGGATTTAGATACCAAAACTTTACCAACAAATACCATTCTTCCTGACAGCTCCTGAGAGATGTACCTTTTACGTTCCCGCCCACTTGACATTTTAATAGGATTGTTAACATGACTTTCTTCTGAACTTTGTGGTGATCTAATTAATCAGCACATAGTAATTAGATATATGTCGCAGTTCCTACTCCAACTATGCTTAGTGCTTCCTTGGAGGTTCTTTAGCTAAAAACTTGCATGCACAAGCTTAAGCCTTGTTATATGTTGGTATATAGGCAGCTAAGCTTTCTTAAGAAGCCTCGACCCGCCTAGAAACCGTTGAACCATCTCTCCTGACTTCTTCAAGGAGCCCATGTATGAATTTCTAGTTAGAAACCAACCATTCTGAATGAACTTTGGATCATGACCCATTTATGTTACTCCAGTCAATATTAAGTCCATGCCCCTTAATTGGCTGGGATTCCAATCCCAACGACTACCTTTTCTAAGAACAAAGATAGGACAATGCAGTTGACTTCTGAGATATGAGAAACTCTGAGCTCCGTTTTCTTGAGAAAAAGAAAGAAACTCTGAACTGCAACCATCACCAAATAAAGATTTTTTTTTCTATGGAACTTTAGACTGGAGTACAAAAATTAAGTTTGTTCATATGGTATATTTGAACTTAATCGTTCACAAATGAGTCTGTGGATCTTCATGAGAATTACAGCTACAGTGATTAGTCAAGCAAAGGTAAATCTTCGTGGCATTTCAGTTTGATTTCGATAGTAAATATGGTGGTGGTGACTAACAAACCTCATCCAGCATGGCCAATAGTTTCGCCATCTTATTCTGGAGCTCTTGTTTCTCAGCCGCAGAAATCTCAGCTTCCGCATTGGCAGTAGACTCCTGTGGGTTGGAAGATACCCCCTCACTTTTCAACACCTCATCGGCGTCTTTGCCATCCATTTTTCCTGCTTCAGCCTTCTCTTTCTGCGCGTTCTGCTTTATACTCTTCCAAACACTGACGATCTCATCAAGCAATTCTTGTGCTGCCTTTAGATACTTTGAATTCCTGATTGCCCGTGAGGCCTCCGACTGCATATTCTTCATTCCATTTTCATCACCCTGGTAAGATTGGGTTGTCAGCAAGTCTGGCTTTGGGGACCAGTATGGGTATGAAGGTGCCAGGATATGTGTGTTGAGGCTCAGAGACAATCCTTGGCCTGGTGCTGATGGAACACTCGCCGAACTGGGGTTGTTCAACAAGCCGAAATCAAGCTGTGCACTGCTATGGGCATCATTGTGGATGAGATCACCACCACCACCACCACTCTGTGCACCATCCATGAAATGCATTAACATCTCATTCCTCATATCTTTGACAGGAGCGAAGGAGCTTTGCTCTGTGAGCGAGGTGACCATGTTAGGAGGTTCCCTTGATGATGAATGTTCTGAAGGATGGCCATGCAGCTCCATGAAATTTTGCTGAGGCTGGATAATGCCACTGAATTCCGTATATGGTCCAGAAGATGCATTGTTTGAATAGAGCAAGTTCCCCAGGGCTGACGGCACGGGATACGACGCATTTCCCGTGTCTGGTGAGTACATGGTTTGCGGGTCCCTTTCGTCACCCGGGCTTGAGTAATAATTAGACATGCCACAACTTTGACTGCTCACTTATGAAGCAACTGCATGCCACTTGTGAAGTCAACCCAATCAAGATTCTAATTGACCTGCCTGCAAATGGGAAAAAAAGGAAGGGTTGAGCATAACACTGAAGAAGAATAACCAACTCAAAAAGGAAGTGCTTCTATCCTCAAACAGTAAGAGAGGATGCAACCAATAGTAATTCCTTATCTCTTTCTTTCCAGAAAAAAAAACTCAGGCCCTGTCTCTTCTGCAAGGGCACAAGATACACACACACACACACACACACACACACAGTAGCCATCACGAGTGATTTAAGCCCAGAGCCTCACATTTGTACTCTTTGACAGCAGTTACCACCGTTGTGTTCCATTTTTGTTTTTCACATTTGTACCATGGAAGAAACAGACACCAATGCTCAGGAAACAAGACAATGCAAGGTGACAGTGCAAGATGCTTGTTTGCAGGCTAAAGGTACAGGTGGTCCGCCATCTATGAGCTCAGCTCAGCTAGGTTCTTGGCCGTTTGCACCTTCCTCACCAAGACGGTGAGAATGTGGTGGGAAATTCCTTATGTTTCACCAGAATAACACAAGCATCCAAAGGGGCCAAAGCCACCCGAAGGAACCACCAAACCAGATAACACGGCCGGCCTCTATACCACACATACAAACACAAAACTGCAAAAGCACGGATTATTTTGTGTTTCTGAAGAAAATATTGTTATTTTGCCTGTTCTTGAATGAAATACGATTATGTGCTGGCCGGCAATACCTTGTCTGATCAATCATTGATGGCCGAGGCGTGCGCAGGACTCCTTCACCAGCTCAGCGGCAACCACCGAAGATACGGGCGTGCACCGATGATTCAGGATGATTCTGGAAGAAGAGATGAATGAAATGGCATCAGATGGCTAGCTAGATAGAAACTACTTTCATACTACTTGTTTGCAGCTCGGATTTTAAGTAATTTTCAATGATACGACAGAGGTGGGAGTGGTGAGCCAGGAGCAATGTCCAAGGCACAGCCTTGTTGTCAGTTGTCACACGCAAAAGATGAATATAATAACTTAAAATTCTGATGACAAGAGCTAAGAGTTCCCTTGCACAGATAAATGCTGCACTACAAGATACAGCAAAACAAGAGACGAAAAATAAGAGCATGGGTTTCATCAGGGCATCCAATGAAACAAAGATTCAAGGATCAGCAAGCAAAGATGGAAGGGTTCCCACTGTAACCAAGCCCAAAAGCCAGCTCTACTGGTAGCTGGGGGAGGGGAAGCAACTAGAAACTCAGATTGAGGTACCAAGACCGCATATGAAACACAGAATTCTAAGAGGATACCCAAGAATTCCATACCAAAGAGGTGAAGAGGGGGTAATTTCTTGAGGCATCAAAAACAGGGGAACCAAGAACTTGAGGCCAAAACCCCCAATACCTTCAGTTCCTCAAGAATCCCAACTCTAGGCTGCACTAAAATCCACAGCCAAGGCTCCTAATCTCTCCCAGCTCCTGAACTGAAGAACCCAGGCAGAAACACCAAGAAGAGGCCTCGCAATTCAGAGAGGCTAGCTAGCCACATACCTATCGCCGCACTCAAAAGCCAAGAAAAGCTCACCAACCAATCATTGGAGCCGATAACAGCAGCACCACACGGAAAGAAAAAAGATAAACAAAAAGGATCGGTTGCAGTTGCAGTTGCACCCACTCAGATCAGACACCCCAATTCCCCGAAGCGAAGAAGCAGCAGCAAGAACCAGAGCAGCAAAATCACGCGAACATGCGCAAGGAATTTCCGCCCCTGCCGCCGCCGCCGCCGCCGCGGCCAGCGGAGGGGGGGGCAATGATGCGGAGAGGGGGATAGAATATTGGGGAAAGGGAGGGTGACCTGAGGGCGGGGGGCAGGCAGCGGCCGGCAGAGGGATTGCTGTCACGAGCCCCGCAAGCCGATCTTGGCTGGGGATAGCGGGAGGGGAGAGAGACAGCGGCGGAGAGGAGAAAGAAAATCGGTGAATCTTTGCTCCTCCCTCTCTCTCTCTCTCTCCTCCGGCACGGGGACAAAATCAGATCCCTCCCACCCGGGATTACAATAATCTTGGCCGCTGCTGCTGCTTCTTCAACCTTCCGCTGCTGCTTCTTCTCGGGCCCAAAAAACAAATGGGTAAACAAAGCGGGCACCAACCACTAACGACTGTTATACCAGCATATGATAATGCGGAGGAGGGCTCCGGCCGGAAAATTTCCCTCTTTTTCTTTCTCGGCGTTCTTTATTGCTGCTGCTGTTAGCGGCGGATGGGACGTGACGGGATGGATAATTGGGTGAGGTGGGGTGGGGTGGGGGGCGTTCGGGGGCGGGTTTAGGCTTTAATCCAAACCGGGAGCTGTTGGGGAGGCATTTGGTTTGCTTGTTTGTTTGGCGGTGCGTCCACCACCACCACCACCACCACGGCCTCCTTCGAGGTGCTTCTTCTCGTTGTTCCATCCACCGTAACGCGTGTTGATTTGATTTGATGTATCGTGGAGCTTGTTTATGGTTTTAATTATGTGATGTTGTGTCAGGCTGTGCTGGGTCTGGCTTATCATTATTGCTGGGATTATGGGATGTGACACAAAGTCTAAAACTGATTTATTGGGAGAGGGTTTTGTTTTTATTTATTTTTAGAATGCGGTGCAGATGCAGAGGCATGCCATGTTGAGGTTGACGAAGTCATCACAGGCGTCTCGTACTCGACGGGAACAATGCAAGCACCGGGATTTGAAACCTCGTGGGCTGGGGTTACCGCTGTCCTCATTACCATCCAGCCGTGGATTGGTTCACGGGAGAGGGTTTTATTGGGGAGTATGAAATAGAGGTGAGTTTGTGACATGGCTACTCGGATGGTTAGCGAGGTGGTTGTGTTGTATTGCACGCCCCTTTCTCCGACGGATTATTCTTGCGGTTGTAAAGGGTGGTCATGGCGACCGAGAAGGGTATGCATGCGAGATGGCATCGGATATATAAGATCATGTGACTTGGTTTGTTGTCTTGGGGGTACAAACCCCGCCCTGTAACGCCTAACATGCGGCTCTAGCCCGATCCAGACTTGAAAATCTCGATGGGGGTAGAAACGAATATCGCGACACATAGCAAGGTGGACATCATTAAAAAGTACCGTCAACTGAATAGAAGAGAATATAAGATATAGTTGGCTTACACTCGCCACAAGCTACAACATGAATATCTCAATACATCAATACATAGCGGTCATCATGCAGAAGAGCTTTCTTCGACCCATCGTCTCCAGAAGAATGAAATGCATAAAACCACCAAATTCATATCCTAATTAGAAAAAATGTCGGAATTCAAAACCTGACAAAACACATTATCTTTGATAGTGGTAAAAACACCGACGAAACTTTTGAGTGAGTTTTGACGTGGCAAAGCTTGGCGACGGGTGTGACGGCAAGCATTAATGATCATTAACGGATCGGTCAGGGCGGCACTCTCGGTCTGAGGCGCGGGGTTGGCTCACTCTCTCCCCCGTCATTCTCCTCCCCTTGTCAGCGGTAGAGGGGGCATAACAGCCCACCATGCCGATGGCGATGGGGGGGGGGCACGGCACACCACGACGGCAACAAGGGCAATTGTTGTGGTAACAACATCTTCCATTCCTTGTCACCACTGCTGAAGCACGGCTGTGGTGGCACTCACCAGTAGGAGGAGTTGTTTCACTTATCTCTCATTCTATTTAGAAATTAGGTTTAGACCTAGGATTTGGGTATTATGGTTTGTGTTTGTGTGGGAATTAGGGTTTGTGGTCAGTTTGGAACTTAGGGTTAGGGAAGTGTCGATTGGGTGCATTGAGAGCGATCAGTGTGTGTTGATTCAATGAATCATTGAACAATTAGTCTAAGTTGTATATTTGGGAGTGGGTGTTGTGGACTGTATTAGTTCATATTTTAGAAAGAACTAGTCCAGACATATTTTAGTCTAAACGAGACAATTGACAGCCCCCATACTAGTCTGAAATATAGATTTGGGAGTGGATGCAGTGCATTGTTTTAGTTCATAAATTAGTATGTTTTAGTTATACATGCGGATTTGCTTGCATTTATGTTTTGCTGATTTCTACCAATCGAGGAACTTCACTTAATGGAGATATAAGAGAGAGGATGAGAAGAAAATCATGAGAAGACCTTTTTGTTATCATAAAATTGAGACTTCTGGGCAAGGAAAGGGTGTATCATCCAACAAGGCTTATGGGCATGCTGTTTACTATTGTTGCTGAAACTGTGAGCTGCAAGTTGCTAGTTATTGATAATGCGGGTGATCGTGTTGTGGTGATTCTGGTATTTGTTCTTAGATGTTTGAACTGAGAATGTTGTGATCATGTTGTTATGATTTGGGTCTAGCCATTTGCTTTAGAATAATGACATTAGACTACAAGATGTTTGATGTCTGTTACACCAGAAGATGCACAAATTCAAACAAATAGAAGATTGGATTGTGTTGTTAGGCCATAATTTACCAATACAATGATCTAATTGGTTTGCCAAAACACCAACACATTCATCATGCGTGATACATTAAAGATAATTGACAAACAAATTCAGACTCGTGAGCAAAGTGTGATACATCACATATTATGGTACATCACAGATAATTGACTAACATCAGAGGTAACTGAATTCAGAGACAGTTGAATAGAAGATTCATACAAACATCGTCAGAGGTAAAGGAAATTGGTCCAATGCCACCTTGTAGTTGGATGTGGAGCTAGGCTTGTCTGCCTTCTCGCCCACTGGAAGATCTGGTCATAGGTATGAGTGCGGTCATTGGGAAGCACTGCTCATACTCTGCTTCATTAAAGAGCCCTGAGATCATATCTGAGAGTTGCGCTAATAACCCACAAGTATATGGGATTAGTTGTAGAATTTACAATAAATAAGAGTGTCGAACCCAATAAGGAGCTAAATGTAGAATTAATATTCTCTCAAGTTCTATCGACCACCGATACAACTCTACGCACA